CTTCCAGGTCCTGCTTCAAAGCACACACAGGAAACACAGTACACACTGGGATGGGTGATATTGCTCTGTGTGCTGTGAATGTGTTGCTCTGATTGGTTGATAAATAAAGTGCTGATTGGCCAGTGGCCAGGCAGGAAGTATAGTATGGGTGGGATGAGCAGAGAGGAGGATTCTGGGAAGACGAAGGCTGAGTCAGGAGTTGCCAGCCAGACACAGACAAAGCAAGATGTGAAAGCAGAACTGAGAAAAGGTACCAATCCACGTGGCTAAACATAAATAGTAATTATGGGTTAATTTAAGTGTAAGAGCTAGTTAGTAATAAGCCTGAGCTAATGGCTGAGCAATTTTAATTAATATAAGCTTCTGAATGATTTCTATAAGTGGCTGCTGCAGCGGCGGGGTCTGTGGGGCTGGGCAGGACCAGAGAAAACTTAAGCTACAACACTGGGATAAACTGGAGGGGATCTGAGATACACATATGAGAGCTGATAAAAACAAATAAACAAACAAACAAACAAAACCCTTCAGTCCTTCCCCCCACCCCCTAAACAGGCTCTCTTTGTGTAGCCCTGGTTTGCATGGAGCTCATTTTGCAGACCATTCTGGCCTTGAACTCACAGAGATCTGTCTGCCTCTGCCTCGATAGAGCTAGGATTAAAGAGCACCACCATCCCTGGCAAGTACTCTTAATATCATAGAAGAAAATCAAATGGCTAGGTGTGGTGTATGCCTATAATTGAAGCCCTCAGGAGGCCGAGGCAGGAGGACCATGAGTTGGCCGAGGGCAGAAGCTGGATGATGACTGGAAGAACGAAAGGGCCTATGCAGGCAGCAAACACCCGCGTTGCACGTGCTTTAGCATTGAACGGGTGGTGGGCTACATAAGAAGTTACACAAGGTTATGGAGAGTGAGGGGGACAGAATCTGTGACTTTGGAGAAAAAGGTGCATGTAAATAAAGCCCTGGGTTTATTCCAGCTTAATAGCTGCTCACTTATGGTTTCCAGAAAGGCCTTTGGTGTCGAGATTCCCGCTAGGATAATAGTTTTATCAAAATGGAATATGAAACATCCAGGTCACTGGTCCTGCGTTCCCCCACGATGGCAAATTGGTTTTATTTTTTTTAGAAGCAAATGTTTTCTAACACTATCTTTGCAGATGGCATTTGATTACTGTCCAGTGTTTCACAGCACATGCTCACTCTACAGCTACAACGTTTATTGCCATGCGTTGTCATTGATCGCTGTGGCTGTCACAGGAGCTGTTTGTCGGTGGCCCGAAGATAAACACTTTAATTTGAATAGTTACATATGTCAATGCCAGACTCCCCATTCAGATTTCTCCATTTTCCTTTCTCAGCTTCCTTTACAGTCAAAGTTCAAAAGTAAGTCAACGTACAGGGAAACAGTAGCTAAATAAAAATATGGCAGGTGGTCTGCTCATGACCAAGACAGAAACTGTGAAGATGCTCGGAGTTAACTGGGTGGTGAGCACACTGGGCCATGCAGTCACGGGAAAGATGAGGTAAGCATTGGGTTGGGTCTCTGACTGTGGTGATAGCTGGTGACAAGCCATCCTGGCAACCAGCACCTAATGTGTGAGCTGCTGCCTGCTGCCTCCAGAGGGTACTTTCCACGTGACTCTAATTGGCCCACACAGGAGTGAAAGCATGACCCTTCCCTCATTAGCCACATGCTCAGACCAGCTGAGCTAGCTCGCACTGGGTCACTGGGGTCTCTTGTAGGAAATTACCATTCCAGTGCCCCATGGCCCTCTTGCAACCCCAACTAATGAATGTCCCATGGAGTCTAATGTCCTTCCTGGGGAAGCATGCAGCTCCGTCAGCAGCAGATGGGATCTTCTAAAGGTTTAACCCAGGAAGAGCTAACTGATGGAGCACAGACAGTTTGGGGAGCCAAGGGATAAAACCTCGCGGACGCCTGCATGCTGGGAGAAAGGAGGAGGACACAGCAGCAGTGTGGTGGATCTGGTCTTAAGACACAAGCACAGGCGAGTGCAGAAACTGCAAAATATCACACAGCAAGTTCAAGTGTAAATGGCGCCAAGGGTGTGTGTGCTCTATCAGATTAGCAGGGTATGTCACCAACATTTTAGGATTTATTTTATTTATGTGGCTGTGGCTGTGGCTGCCACACACTTGCAGAAGCTCAAGGAGGCCACAAGTAGCCATCGGATGCCCAGGGGCTGGAGGTACAGTCGGTTGTGAGGCACCGGCCATGGTTTCTGGGGTCTGAAGTTGTGTCCTCGGAAGACTAGTAAGCACCCTTAACCACAGAGCCCTCTCTCCAGCCCCTACTGCCTACTTTTAAAGATGAAAACGGTGTGTGCCTGTTCTAGAGATGAGGGAGCTAAGGCTTGGAAGTAATCAGTGAGGGTCAAAGATCCTCCCAGGAGCACCACATTGTGAAAATGAATACATCGTGAAGTAGAAAAGGCTTTACTTTGCTGTGGGCACACTGCTTCACTACAGATCTGAAGCAACAGGGCTAATCAATTATGGGCAGGAACCTCCAAAATTAGGAGTCAGATAAAAACCTTCCTCTTTGTAAGTTGACCAACTTGAGTTTTTCCTTGTAGTTATGAAAAGCAAACAAACATAACCGTATTCTTGGTTTTAGTGATTCCTTTCAAAATCAGCTACTATTTCACACACCACATTTCTCTTCGCCATGTTTGTTGCTAGTAAATCATGCTTCAGGTAGGGTAGGGAAGTCTTCTGGAGGCCTTGGCATGTGTTAGGAGGTAGATAAGCATTGACACACACCCCCGCCCCCACCCTAAACCCGCAGCTTTCCTTGGTAAATTATAAACGCTTGTTTGACTCGAGAGCATGTTTGCATCCCGTTCTGCAGTGGTCGCTCCATTCTGGGGATGGAGAGAAACCTAAAGACAGTGGCAACTGCTCTCTCAACTGGGCTTTCACACAGCACGGCTGGAACTTTCCACACAGCACCGCCCAGAAACTAGGGCTTCAAGGCAGTAGTGCAGGGGCCAATCTCCTGCCAGCAGGGGGAGCTGAGAACAGTGACAGCCCCCCTGAAGCGGGATACTGGGGAACCTCTTTCCTCATTCTAAGTTCATTCCCTCGCTGACTGCCAGCAGTTGGGCTGTCTGAGCTTTAGATTAGGTAAAGACAGCAATCCACATTGCCACAGGGAGGATCACAATTTTTTTTTTTTTTCTTGATGTCAAAGCTTGTACACATTTAAGTATGGCTTGCAGCTGGAGACGTGGGTCCTTCTGAGACCTAGTGAAGCAGTTTTCTTTAACCTACTGCCACCTAGTGGCGGTTGAGCAGACTGAGAAAGACATTTAGTTTTATTCAAGACCTAGAAGACAAGTTTTGGGTTTTTTTTTTGTTTTTTCAGTTCTTGCTTACAAGCCTGGGTAAAGATAGATTTACTGGCTTTCTACACTCTGGCCAATCTCTGAGGTATGAAGAAAACTGGGAAAAACCAGACCTAGAGCTGTGGGTCTTGACCTTTCCTTTTTTTTTTTTTTTTTGAGACAGGGTTTCTCTGTATAACAGCCCTACCTGTCCTGGAACTCACTCTGTAGACATTGCTGCCCCCAAACTCAGAGATCCACCTACCTCTGCCTCCTGAGTGCTGGGATCAAGACATGCACCACCATTGCTCAGCTTCCCTCTCTCCTTTTGTGGTGGTTAGGAAATTACAAATGCAGTTGAGCTCAGGTTAACTCATTTCTTTTAGAGCATGGCATTGCATGTCAAGTTAATTTGAGAAAGAATCAGTGTGTGTGTGTGTGAGTGTGTGTGTGTGTGTGTGTGTGTGTGTGTGTGTGTGTGTGTGTGCGCGCGCGCGCGCGCACGCGCGCGCCAAGGATGGAATCCAGAGTTTTGCACATGCTGTCTTTGGAGCTTTAGAGATTAGATCGTGCTATGTAGCTTAGGCTGGCCTCCAACTCCTGACCCTTCTGACTCCACCTCCTGAGTGCCAGGATGGCAGGCGTATGCCATGTTTGAGCCAACCTGATATTTATTTGTTCCACTGGGTACTGTGAAAGCACAGAGGAGAAAATAAGTCATCAATATGGCAAGCCATCAGGCCACTCAGTTTCCTTCCATGCATGGAGGGAAGCTGTGCTCCATTCACAGATTTCTGGAAGTGTGTGTAGATCTATCACTCCAGTGTGGTAAAACAGACTCAATGGTGATATCAGCAGATCGTGAGGAGACTGGATTAATGCCAGTGACGACCAGGGAGAAGAAATCCAGAAGGCAATTAGTACAGCTTGGGGGTGGGAGAGTCAAACTTGGGGGAACAAAGCTCTCAGTGATGGGGACCCAGATGTGAGCTTTGGCATCAAAAGGCCCCAAGACCCCAGCAACAGGACTGCACTTGGCTAGAAAGATTTTATTTAGTTATTTGTGCGTACACGTGTGTGTACATGTGTATGCATTTGTGGACATGCCCAGGGCACTGTGGTCCTCCTCCTTCACTCTCCCTCTTTCTTTCTTTTTTTTTTTTTTAAAGATTTATTTATTGTATATCTAGTGCTCTGTTTGCATGTATACCTGCAGGCCAGAAGAGGGCATCAGATCTCATTACAGATGGTTGTGAGCTACCATGTGGTTGCTGGGAATTGAACTCAGGACCTCTGGAAGAACAGCCAGTGCTTTTAACCTCTGAGCCATCTCTCCAGCCTCCCTCTTTCATGTGAGGTCTCATCCCTGAACCAGGGCTCAACTGTTCTCAGTTAGGCTAGAAGCCAGCCAGCCCAAGTCTCCTGTCTGTCCACCCCGGAACTGGGGTTACAGGTGTATGAGGGACGCCTGGCTTGTTACGTGGGTGCTGAGATCTGAACTCTGGTCCTTATGACTGGGAAGCTCTTAACTGTTGAGCCATCTCTCCAGCCTGCTCTTGAAATACTTTAACTTTCTAGATGCCTGTCTTCTCTTGGTAAGAGACCCACGATTTTTCCAGGACTCCCCAAATTAGCAGAGACCAAGCAGCAAGCGAATGGATACAATCATATTTATTACAGTTTCCAGACTCCCATTCGACACATACCAAAAGCAGCACATTGCAACTGGAGGTTACTAGCAGCAGGCCCCTCAACAGGAAGGGTCTCGGTTAACCGAACAAGGGGTAAGGTACAGAGGAGGTCAGTTCGGGGTTTACCAGTTGCCGTATGAGCACGGAAACCACAGTCATCCAGCGTCAGCCCTGTCTGTAAACCATCACCAAGTCACGGTGCACGGGGACACAGTTGGCACAGCCTTTACACGTCCATACTGAATAAGCAAATCACTTTTTGTTACTGTCTTTTTTTATTGTTTATTTTTGAAACACTTTCCCTCTGTAGCTTAGACTAGCCTGGATCACAGTGGTCCTCCTGCCTCAGTCTCCTAAGGGCTGGGTTTACAGGTGTGAGTGGTTTAGGATACAGCTTACTGTCTGCCTTCCTGTTGGGAGAACAGAAAAAGAGGGGAAGAGCTGCTCTGGAACCCAGCTCCACACGACACGGCCAGGTAGTCACGTGTAGCGACCCTGGGAGTGTCCAGACATTTCCTTCAGGGCTCTGAAAACACATCAGACATTTGCTCCCAAGGACTCATAATCAAAAGCGATTTCCATGTGCCAGGAACCACATTCCCAGCTTTCCTAAGGGACACCCTGTGTTTGCAGAAAGTGTTTGGATGGAGCCTGGACTCTGACAGCTTAAAGACCCCACGGGTCCCGGGTGCCCAGAGTTTTCTTGCCCCCATCTTCAGACCACCCATGCCCTTTCTTGACAGAGGGCTTTCACTTTTATTAGAAGAGTGAAATGACGAACATCTGAAAACTCCTTGAAACACTGGGAGTGACGGGGGCCCCACCCTTCTTCAGATAACTGGGACTGGAGGCTGAGGCTTATCTTAAATCCACCAGTTTGCCAGAAAGTAACAGCTGACTTTCCCACACAGGCCAGAGGAGATGGCTTTGCTTTCAGCCACTGAGAAAAAGCCTTCTGGGCAAGACAAACATGGACAGATGAACAGAGTTATTCACAACGGGCTGCATGCATTCCAGATGTAGTTCAGGAAGAGAAAAATAAAAATATCTCTCAAACTACTCAATTTATACCACCAGACTCTTTTTTCCCTATTAACTTGACCTACGCACAGCAACCATTTCATTCATAAAAAGTACAGAAGGGAATGAAACGCTTTGGGAGAGCACCAGTGACAGCTAGCTGTCTTTGAATTTTAATTTTTTCCTACAGGAAAAACCTACAGGACAGTTAAAGAAGCAGTTAATAGAGCCAACTGTATTTCATGACTTCGCCTGGGTGGCTGTCATGGAGAGAGCGTAAACAGAAACACAAACACCCACTTCGCATCATGCTGGGTCTACTTCTTTTCTCTTAAAGGGTAGAAGTGTCGGCACAGATCTCTGTGAGGCTGAGGAAGGGGCACTCTTTCCCTGTCAAGACAGATGGGGCTGCTCCTGATCTGACCGAGGCTCACCCACAATGGAATGTTCTTTGCCTTGATAAGAGCCAGACAAAGAGCAAGGTGTAGACTGCTCCAAATCCCCTGCCTCAGAAGCTAACTTCACAAGCTGCCTGCTGTCCTAAGAAAGAAACCATCAAGCTTCCCAGACACTAAAACAAACAACCCAGGCGAAGGCTGTGCTGGTGTGGAGCACAAGCATAGCTCCATGCACAGAATGGCATGCAGCAGGGCTCTGGCAGCCATTTCTTAATCACGTGACACAGCAGAGCACCCTGGTTCCACATTAACATTGCCCATTTAATGCCTGCTACTTTCAAAACAGTATTTCCGCCCACGACCAGGTTCAGAAGCTGCTGGCTCCCTCCCCAGCTTCCTGTAACCTACCAGCACAACATGTCTGACCTTGACCAAGGTGTGGTCTTCCCAGGTGGTGTGAGCACCACCAGCAGCTTCTGCAAGCCGAGCACAAACAAACCCAACAAACATGAGCAGACCACTCTGTGAAGCCAGTCGCCGAGACCTTGGCAGAAATCCTGGCATCTGTGCATGGCTGCCTGTTCCTGTGGGAGCCTGGCTTCCTTTGTCTATTTAAGCTGTAGACCTTAGTCCTTGGACATCGCCCAGGACCCCTGTCCTGGATGGTACCTCCCTTAGCCTTGAGCAGGAACCGTTAACAACCTTGTTCAGATGCTGATGCTTGCCTACTTGTAATTTCTATTCAAAAGTCCACCAAAACAAAACTGGTAACACTAATAGCTGAGCCAGGGGTAGGGCACCCATTACCTGCAGCCCACAGCAGGCAGAGGCAGGCAGATCTGTGAGTTTGAAGCCAGACTGGTTTATATCATGAGTTTCAGACCAGCCTGAGACTCTGTCTCAAAAAAAACAACAAAAAACAAAAAAACCAAAACAAAACAAAAAACAACAAAGCAAAGCAAAACAAACAAACAAAAACAAAAAAAGCAAGCCAATCGCCAGCCACGCTAATTGCTGGCAACATTACCACCTAATAAAGCCACATACTCCTGAAAAGACCTCAACAAGAATACAGGAATATTCTGTGACTTATTCAGGTGTCTAGAGATGAGTTTGAACAATCAAAGCTGTTTATTCAAAAGTGAAAGTGTTTATTTAAAAGAAAACTCTAATCCCCATAGAATACCAGTGAGGAAGCTCTACTCCATTCTCTATTTGTGGGGCTCCAGAAGGAAGGGGCCTTCTAGTGTCTTCTAGTACTCAATCCACCAACCCCTTTCCCCAGGGTCTGTCTTTCTCCTAAGGAAAACTTCAGCTGTTTTCACAGCAACTTTCATTGACTGATTGACTCCTTCACTCTCATTCACACCAGGAACTGAACTCAGAGTCTCATGAACACCAAGCATAGGGCCTACCACTAAGCAACCAGCCCAGTCCAGCCACTACAGTGACTCATTATGACCTACATGATAGCATTTTTGAGCAGCAATACGTTATTGGAACCTATTTTTCTTTATTTTTGAAAATTTTTCCAATAATAAAGAAAAGGCAATAATTTATTAAATTGACTTGTCTGAAAATAATTACCACGCTTTGCACAAAATTACACATTTCCTAGAGAGTATTCATTTTGGAATCACTGTCCAAATTAAACAAATAAATGGACAGGAGCTAAAGATACAGCACACACAATTTTCATGGCTTAGAGTTGTCATGTTGAGTGGAAAACTATAAATCAATCCTTAGAGAAATATGGGAGAATTATACAGCAACATGAAGCTGTCATGTGTATAAAATAAATCAGGAGGGTCACTAGCATGAACAGAAATTCTTTCTATTCCTTTTGATTGCACATTTCTACAGAGTCAGGAAAGAAGAGCATCCATTACAGCTTCTAGCCAAGGGACAAAAGGGCAGACAGGCGAAGACGGCACACAGGGAACACCGGTGGAGATGGAGGCCGTACAGTCTGATGATGACTGGGTAACGGAGATGGACACAGGAGGCAGACAGGAATTTAGGCTAGAAGACAAGAGTGGTGAGCCGGAGTCTGTACCCAGAGCCTCCCGGACCTCAGAGCATCTGCCCTGCCTTCCCACTTAAACACAATTAGAAACAAGAGCAGGCAAACAGAAAACAGACAGGAAGCCCACAGAGCCCCCTCTGGGAACAACGCTGTCTTTAGCTGCACATTCTCCCTTCAGTACCACCACAGACACCCCTGAAAAGCAGGGGCCGGGATGTGGGGAGCAGCAAAGAGAGTCACTCTCTCCTTAATGAAGCTGTTCCTTAGACCTGCTTCCCTCTGGAGGAAAGAACAGACCATGACACGCAGCTGCTGAAGTTCTCGCAGCCTTCTGATGATGGTTACTAGACCACAAATGACAGTGGGAAGATATCTTTCTTATATAGCACCTGCCTTGTTCATAGGACAAAAGGATTTTTACAGAGCTATACAATAGAGTAAGGAAAAATTACTCATGGCATTTAGATATGCTTAGAGGCTGTAAGACATCTTCCTAAAATTCTGCCACAATGCCCTGGTGAGGTAGGTGTCTGATGGGGGAAAGGGGGACATTTGCTCACTTTTCATTGTCTGATGAGGCAGTGGTCCAGCTAACCGAACTTTATTTACCCTGCTCCTCAGGAGACTTACTCACACTATCCACAAACCCAGCGGGGAAAATGTTCTATTCATACATACACTTGGACTAATTATCTATTTCTTATTCTTACTTTGAGCATAAGTTATCTAACATAAAGCAAGTATAAACAAAATTTTGAAAATCAATATTGCCTAACAGTCAATGTCAAGATGTAGCCCATTCTGTATTGTGATTGAAAAGCATACGGTGATATAATTCAAGTAGGAGCGTCCCTGGGTCCTTTGGTATTCCTGTACTCAAGTATAAATGGGAGTCAAGTGCCCTTAGAACACACCCATTTGACCTCTAAGAGCCTCACTGGTGTGACACAGGGAATAAAAGCGTACGACCCCTCTTTCATAGCAAGACCATTCTGAGAGACTTTCTACACAAGGCCAGCCCCGCCTAGAAAGGGGACTCTCAGGCATGTGATATATGTGTATTACTGAGTTAATGCAGAACTCTCTGAAGTCAGACGCCAAGGTCACATCAGGACAGTTCACCCATAACACATGGGGTGATACCACAGAGCACATGCACACTAGCACCATGCCACAGGAATCAGAGAGGACGACAAGCCACAAGCACGGCACAGTCCCATCTGGTATGCCATGTGCAGAGGCCACCTCTGGTGAGGAGAACACTGACAAGCTTCTGCATTCCTGCCCAGGAGAAGAGGGGGCTCAAAACGGAGCTGTCACCTCGGGCTGCTTAGAGCAACCACCGAGCTGTGCTTCACTCCTGCATAAGCCGGTAACTTTCCTAGACCTTACTAAGATTCAAGGATGAGAAATTTCACTTCTTGATCAAGAGAGAAGGATGTAGATAGAGCAAAGGTCAGTTCCAAGACATGGGTGCAGGGCTCTCAGGCAATTTACACTGTCGCTCATAGATCAAATTCCTGGTGCTCAGAGCACTAGCTTTTAAAAAATGAAATCTTTCTTTCTCAGGCATTTCTTACAGTTTCCACAGAGTAGATTCCACTCATACTACAACCCTAAGTCAAAGGGAGCAGCTTATGCTTGAGACTCTGGAGCAGACGATGACAGCCTGTCGGACACATGCATGCACTGTGAATGGCTTTTGCCTGGTTAGGGTTGCTGACCTGTCCTCCCCTCAACACGGCTTCCAGAGGGTGAGCCAGCTCTGTCCTCTGTACGGGCAGGACCAGTGGGAATCACTGCGACTCACACTTTGATTGGGATACTAGGATATAGCATAAGAACAGTTCATGCACTTTATTTCTAAAACCCGAAGGTCACGTGGGGCCGAGCTGGTCACTGTGCAAGATGAACCAGCAGGACATTCTCGCCTCGAATGAAAATCTGATTTATGTGTCGCGTGAACACCTGCTGGTAATCCACCTTGGGCTTTCTCTTTTTCCTTCGGGACTGGCCCCGTGAAAGAGTGGTGGCCCTGGAGAAGGTACCTCCCGCACTGGACCCTTCTGTCCGTGACAGCTCAGACCTGGACTCCTCCCTTGCAGAAGCCTGCAGGGAGGAAGGGACGGAGCGGGAGCGCTTGTGTGAGCCCCGGTCAGTGTCTCCTCGTCCCCACACTGAAGCCACCTTCCAAGTGGATGTCTGCGAGTATCTAGACAGGGTGGAGTCTTCCACCGCAGACTTGGAATCTGCTTCCTTTTTGGAGGAATCTTGAAGTTTCAGCCGATCAAACAGCTATAAGGAAAACAGTGACAACTATTAGCTGTGGTAATGCCTACAATATAACTCTTGTCAACATACACAACAAGGTCAGATTCCTTAGCTACATCTTGTGAACTCCTTGCACTGACATTTTCTTAAAGATAATGGTCACTTTCCAATTTCCAGACATGACTCAGACAACTATGACTAGAGAAAAGGTACCCTTATCTCTGTGATACAAAGCTGAACGGCACATATGCAGGTAAGAAGCAGGTGCTTTTGGGATCTGCTGGAAGCATGCAGTGAGGGACTAAGACTCTGATCCAGACACCTGGCTCCCTGGCAGTGGGCTTGTGATCATGGCGTCTAAGCTAGAAGGCAGGGTGGGTATCCAGGAGGTCAGGGGGAGCTGCCTACCCTTGTGAGAGTCAGCGAAGAATCCCGTTCATAGGCTTTGCCTAACACAGGTTTACGGTAAGTCTCATCCACATCGGTGAGGGCCTGGAGGAGCCCAAAGGGAAGAAAGGGAAAAGGATGTTATTTATAGAGACTTTGAGAAAAGGCAGGAGAGCATCTCATTACAGCAGAACAGGTGACTTAGCGTGGTCACAACATGGTAAGGCCTGACACGGCTGCCCAGGATTTCCAAGCTTCTTCCAGCGTATTAGATGCACTTCTTTGACAACGGCAAGGCTTTACAACCCCATGGTAGATATTCAGAAATTTCAGTGTGCATAAGTATGCAGGAAGCTTATGAAAATACAAACACAAAGCTGCTCTTTTAAAAGAAAAAAAAGTAAGGTTTTTCGTTTGGTTAGTTTGGTTTTTTTCCCTTCTACCCCAATCCACCCACCTTTTTTTGAGACAGAATCTCATTATATAGACCTGGATGCCCTGGAACTCTCTATGTAAACAGAGCTGGTCTCAAAATCACAGAGGTCCGCCTGCCTCTGCCTCTGATGGGCTGGGATTAAAAGTGTGCACTAACACACAGCTGAAAAGCTTTTTACATTTGATTATATGTGGGGAGAAGGTACACGTTGTAAATGTTGCAGCTCAGAGGGGAAAGTCTGGCAGTTGGGAGCCAAGGAATACCACAAAGTCACACTGTACAACAAACCTCACACAAGAGATTTATTAAGAAAGACACAAGATGGTGGCTGCCCCTGCTCAGGAGAGAAGCAGCAGAGAACCAAGTGGAGGCAGGCTTATAAAAGGTTTCTTAGGGGCAGAGTTTTCCAGGGTAGAGATTTCCAGGGTGGGGATCGGTGGAATTTCAAGTTCAGTGATTGGTAGGTTTTAGAGCCCAGGGATTGGTGGGTTTTTCAAGCCCTGGAACTCTGAGCTCATTTACCCTACATATCCCCCCTTTTTGTTTATTATTAATAAACAATTAGGGGTCAAGAAGAGGGCAACATCATTATTAAACTACTTCCTGTTGATTGGGGGCACCAAAAATTCTTGGGGTGAACTTGACCTTCACAATCAGGGTATAGTCTGAGGTCACAGGCCTCTGGTTCCGTAGCCAGGGGCTAATAATAGTGTTAACAGCAGCTGACTAAAAGTCTGTTTAGAAATCTTTTGGATCTATTGTTGAAGAAATCTAGACAAAAAGTTCACAAGGCAGGGTGCGATCAGTAGAATTAAAAGGAGGAGGTGAAAGGGAGTTAAGAAAGGCAATATCCAGTTCTCTATTGGACTGGTATCTCCGTCTGGCAACCTGCTGGTGAGCAGTCTCCAGACTCCACCATGTATGTGGGCTGCATATCATTTGCATATAGGTTTCCTGAGCCTTTGATATCTTAACAATAGCAGAGGGAGAGAAAGATAACCGAAATATTTTTTATAACCTTAATGCACTTTATTATACCTTCAAAACTAAGTTTTCGAATCCTCAGATCTTTTACACTTTCTTAGACCCTCAGAACTTACTGAAACTTTCCCATCCTCAGACCATTATTCACTTTCTTAGATTCTCATTGCAGCTGGGCTGCATTTTCACCAACAGCCTCTTCTGGGTTCTCTTTAGGAACCTCGGTCCTGCCACACAGTGAGTGACAAGTCTCAGCTGCTCTCCATGACCCCTTCATATCATTTTTAAAAACTAATACCACCCAGGTGACTCTTACATTACAAATTCCAGCTACCAGTTGAGGTACATTCTTTTTTTTTTTTTTTTTTTTTTTTGGTTTTTCGAGACAGGGTTTCTCTGTGTAGCTTTGCGCCTTTCCTGGAACTCACTCTGTAGCCCAGGCTGGCCTCGAACTCACAGAGATCCGCCTGGCTCTGCCTCCCGAGTGCTGGGATTAAAGGCGTGTGCCACCACCGCCCGGCGAGGTACATTCTTATATATGAGTATACCTTATTAAACAGGCATTGTTTCTTAAACCCTATCTTTCATAAACCCTGTTTTTATGATTTTTGTTTTCAGAACAGGAATTTTCATACAGTAACAGAGAAAACAAGTATGGGAATGTCCTGGAGAAGGGGAGATGGATAAGGGAGTTACAGGGAACTAAATTCGCCTCTGACAGCCTGATATAGAGCAATTTCCGGACCCTCTTAAGATGGGCTATTGGTTAGAGGTGTGTGTGTGTGGGGGGGTCTCTTGGATGATAAATAGTCACATGTAAGAGCTGCCATGGATATATGCAGATGGGAACAAATAGAGAAGGAGAGAGCAAGTTTAGATATAAAAGGTTTTCCAATCATCTGTTTATGCAGTGGCAGAAGCTGCTCTCACTGAAAATTGAGGATGCCAATTTTGACCATTGCACTGTACTGAAGCCAAGCTGTTTGTAGTAACAGAGTGAGACTTTAATAAAATCTGAGACCATGGAGAAAGAGAGAAAGGGTCGCAAAACGAACTCCACTGGAGGGAGTTTCTACAAGCTCCAAGTGAGAGCTGAGAGACATGGAATAAGCCCAGGAGGGCGTAGAGGAGCTGTGAGACTTCCAGAAGAGCAGAGAGACAGGAGGGACAAGGTCAGAGGCCCAGAAGGGCTTACGGAGGGAGGCTGCAGGACTTAGCGGGCAGCTTCTGGGGGAGGAGGCCAGGAAACAGGCTAGAGAGTTGCCCCCGAGGTGGGGGGCCCTGGAGGGCTAGCAGGCTCCAGGAGCCAGAGAGAGGACACTTACAGAGTAGGGGAGGAGAGATGGATGGTTAGAGCAGGTGGAGGAAGAAGCAGCTGAAGAGGCAGACTCTAGAATTTGGAACCAAGTATGGTGGGTGGCAGAGGCCAGCAGAAACAAATGCTCGTGTACACCTTAAGAGAGCCAGTTTGCAATGCTAAGGCGTGGGCATGGCGGAAAGGTAAGTGTGGCATCCTTTACCAATGCCACCTGAAGAGACAGAACTCAGGAAGGAGGTAATGTCTGGAGAAGCAGGGACAGGTGGTAGAGAGATGACAGTACTAGGTGACCCAAAGGGTAACTTCTTTGACTTGAATATAAGAAGCTCGGCTGCAGCCAGAATGCAGACAAGGTGCCCATCCTTGGACAGTGTGGTCTCATTTTTTCAACAGATGCAACAGATGTAAAGGAAGGTCCCACAGAGGGAGAGCCGTGGCTGGTTTAGGCTGGGTAAGGGGAGACAGAGGGGGTCCTGTAGTGGAGCAGAAGTGAGTAGCGGGAGGACCAAGGGTTGCCAGTGAGTTGAGAGTGGGCACCGTGAGAGGGTTGATTTAGGTGGCAGCCTATTGCTGAGGAGGGAGAAAGGGAGACCCAAGAAGCCAGGGGTGGGGTGGTCACTTTTAATCAATCTAGGAGTGAAGTCATATGGCAAAATACATTCTTTCTAACCCTAGCAAAGATGGCTATCAGTCATATGGCTGCCTCCATCCCAGTGGGGGGACAGTGGCTAAGACGGCGGCATGCCACGTTTCCTTTAAGATTACCTATGTATAGATTTTTTTAACTGTCAACCCCAGTGTTACGAGGCTTTTGTTTTTTGTTTGTTTTTGTTTTTGTTGTTGTTGTTTTTTGAGACAGGGTTTCTCTGTGTAACAGCCCTGGCTGGCCTGGAACTCACTTTGTAGACCAGGCTGGCCTCGAACTCACAGACATCTGCCTGCCTCTGCCTCCTGGGTGCTGAGATTAAAGGCATGCGCCACCACGCCCAGCTCAATATTACAAGTGTTAAATTAACCCTTTTGTTGCAGAGTTTGCAGATTTCTAATCATACCCAATATGCTTACAAATCTTGAGGAACAGAAAGTTTACACAGCTGGGCTGTGGTAGCACATGCCTTTAACCCCAGAACTCGGGAGGCAGAGGCAGGCAGATCTCGGAATTGGAGGCCAGTCTAGTCTACAAAGTAATTCCAGGACAGCCAGGGCTACACAGAGAAACAAACAAACACAAAACAATGAGAAGAGGGATCAAGAGGGGCTGGCCCAGGGCTTCCCTCATACAGCTTGGCAAGCATTTTACCACTGACCAACATCTCCAGCCCTTACACTCCAAAAAGTTTGCACAACAGTCTTACAAATCTTGAGATAAGATTTACACCACAGCCAAAGTTTTAGAGAGTTAAACCAAAACCCAAAGGGTATGAGATGAGTAGCAACAGTCTCTACTGGGAACGGTCTGTCTCTTTATTTCGTTTTGCTCTCCTTTCTCTGTCACACAGCAGATGGCTCACCTGATATGGGACAGAGATCTTGGAGGAAGCCTTTCAACAAGCATGCTTGGGTCTAAAGGAGAGGGAGCCATAACCTCAGTTCCAGAGCCAGCATTTAATTGAAGTGGGACAGCATAAAACAACGGTTTAATGCCACCCATACCGAAAAGACACCTGGATGCCTAAAAAATTGAACCCTGTAAGCTGAGAACCAAGAAGGCTTAGAGATGGGAAAGTTTTGAGCCCTGGCTACAGACAGAGGATGATGCAGGGTGTGTGCATGGGTGTGCAGGGTGTGTGCATGGATGTACATGCTGCAGCTGCCCTACTCCTTTGCTTTCCTCCCTGGCTCTGGCTCCCACTTTGCACCACACTTACAGACCCACTCACGGTAACAGTAACTTAAAAAAACAGGGCATTTACACGGTGTGGGGTGAGACCAGACAAAAACAAACAGGGCTTAGAGCTGAAAAAAGGGAAAGCTTGAATACAGGGAATGGGGAATGTTTTTCCATTTCCTCATCACTCTCAGTATTTGTAAAGGTCCAGAATATATTACAATCTGGGGTGCCATTAGGAGGCCATTTGGGCTGATTATCTAAGGGGTATTAAGGCCAAATTTGATTGTGAAGGTGAACAAGTTTAAGGCCTTCAGGTCAGGTGCCAGGTGTAGAGAGAGGCTGAAGGTTATTAAAAAGGCATCCAAGGGTTGGGGAGGGCGGGGGTGGGGTGGGGAATGAGAGGGTATAGAAGACACTGTTCCCATGGATGGGGGTGAGGGTGAGAGGAAGAAAGGTCACTGCAGCCTGTAGTCCAGGACATCCACAGGGCTCAGGGAGGATTGAAGGAGGACCAAGCCATTCCATGGGTTATCACTACACTCAACAGGGGTCATGACTATGGGTTATCACTACACTCAACAGGGATCATGACTAACAACCCGATGAGGAGTCCCAGGGCTTTCCAGAAGGCCTGAAGGCTTGCCTAGAAGCAATGAGAAAACTGAGCTAAGGGATGAGGTCTCATCAACAGGGAACCATCAAGAACCAAGTCAAAAAAGCCAGGAGGGCCGAGAGAAGCTGTGTGATTACAGGCAGCTTCGAGGGAGAGATGGAAAAGGAGGGAACAGAAAGGGGTGCAATAGCCCAGTTGTGTAGCTAGAGTTTTCCTGCCTGGCCCACAGTCAGGACAAATCTCTATCACCTGCCAGTCCCACAGTCGCTCAGACCCGACCAAGTAAACATAGAGACTTATATTGGTTACAAACTGTATGGCCATGGCAGGCTTCTTGCTAACTGTTCTTACAGCTTAAATTAATCCATCTCCATTAATCTATACCTTGTCACATGGCTCGTGGCTTACCAGCATCTTCACATGCTGTCTCTCATCGTGGCGGCTGGCAGTGTCTCTCTGACTCAGCCTTCCACTTCCCAGTTTTATTTTCCTCCTTGTCCCGCCTACACTTCCTGCCTAGCCAATGGCCAATCAGTGATTTAATTATTGACTAATCAGAAACACATTTGACATACAGAACATCCCACAGCACAGTTGGGCCTAAGGAAACTGCAGGAATGCAGCTCCAAGGTGTGTGTGTGTGTCGGGGGTGGGGGTGGGGGTCACATGAAGAGGGTCAGCTCAAAGAGTGTGGCTGGGGGTACCTCTGCCTCCAAGAGTACCAGGAGAGTGTCAGATGCTCAACACTCACTTCCTTGAACTTAGGGTAGCCGTTACACAAAGCTAAAGGAGAACTTCAGACTAGTGGATGGGGTGTCAAGGGATCAGTGAGCTGGAGGGTGAGTGTGTTGCGGGTGGACTGGAGATGAGGGATAGGGTCCCAGTGCTGCAGACCCGGGTGGGGGGGTGTGGCTCAGGCACAGAAGAGCTTATCCGGAACCAATGGAAGTGTTACAGCTCTGAGGGGCAGACTTTCCCAATGGAAGTGTTACAGCTCTGAGGGGCAGACTTTCCCAATGGAAGTGTTACAGCTCTGAGGGGCAGACTTTCCTGACAGAAGTGTTACAGCTCTGCAGGAAAGGTATCCTGGCAGTCGGGAGCCAAGGAAGACAACACAGTCACACTGCACAACAAACCTCACTGGCGCCCAACGTGGGGCAAGAGTTTCCACCTAAAAACTGAGAAAAGATTCTAAAACGGAGCTAAAAACAGTTCCTAATTGTCTCTCTCAAATGAGCGGCAGCTGCCGGTTTGAGCTACTGGTGGGTTTCTGGTGTGCGCGCTCAACCTGCGGTATGGCGGGAATGAGGCCTCTGCAAGTGGCACATTAAGCTACATTGTGGATTTAGCCTTTGCTAGTACAAAACAAAAAAAGAGGTTTCTGGGCTACACGCTGCTTGGATAAAAGCATAGACCCACGATAGCTCCCAGAGCTGGCGGTAAAGTACCACGCCATGTTGGGAAGCTGAGGTGGGCGGAGCCAGCAGCCACAGCTGCTGCAGCTTAAAGCAATAGATTCACAATAAGACAGATTCAGATGTAATAGTTTAAAATGTGTGTAAAATATACGTAGGCTTGAAAGAGACAAAAAAAGGTGATATATACAGTATAGAAACAAATACATGGTTTTAAAAAATAAAGTCTTTAAAGAGACAGTAAAATTAATATAAAAAATAAGCCACGTAAAGATGGCTACCACACAGAGAATCTGGATTATGTTATCTTTGATATTCGTAACTAAAGAAAAACATTTGATTACAAAAGCTGTTGAGTTATGCCAAAATGTATATTTTAAAGGTACCTTGACTTCAAAATTTGGATATAAGGATATGTTACTTTGGAAAGGAGACTCTGCTTTTGTTTCCACAGAAAGCCAGAGGCTATGGATTTGTTCCAGATTAAGATACATCAGGTTTGACCAGCCAAGACCCCCTGAAAGGTGACACCAAGGCCCAGATGATCCAACATCCAGAATGGTTTCAAGGCAACTGGCTCAGACGATACAGCCTCACGGACTACTCCATGATCCTAAAATTTTATTTGTTTCCCCAGAAGATACAGCGCCCCCCTCCAGCAGGAAGTAGTAAGAGAAGCTACGCCCAAATTCCCAAATATACCAAGCTGACTTTGGAGATATGTAAAGGTTAAAACCTTCCTTTTTAAGAAAAGAAAAGGGGAGGTGCTGTGGGATGGTCTGTATGCCAAATGTGTTGCTGATTGGTTAATGAATAAATCACTGATTGGCCCGTGGCCAGGCAGGAAGTATAGGCGGGACAAGGAGGAGAATAGAGCTGGGAAGTGGAAGGCTGAGTCAAGGAGACACTGCCAGCCGCCATCAGGACAAGGAAGATGTAAAGTACCGGTAAGCCACAAGCCACGTGGCAAGGTATAGATTAATAGAAATGGATTAATTTAAGCTGTAAGAACAGTTAGCAAGAAGCCTGCCACGGCCATACAGTTTGTAACCAAAATAAGTCTCTGTGTTTACTTGATCGGGTTTGAGCGGCTTGGGACTGGCGGGTGAGAGAGATTTGCCCTGACTGTGGACCAGGCAGAAAAACTCTAGCAACACCTCACATAAAAGATCATTGGGAGAGACACAAGAGGGTGGCCAGAAGCGGCAGGGAACTGAGCAGGAGGCAGGCTTTATATAGGGTTTCTGCGGGGGGCGGTTCCAGGATGGAGATTTCCAGATTGAGACTTGGTGGAATTTTGGGCTCAGGGATTGGTGAGTTTTTGAGCTTAGGGACTGGTGGGTTTGGGGACCAAGAAGTGGGCTTGGACCTTTTACCCTACAAGGAAGGCTTATATAGAGTTTCTTGGGGGTAGAGTTTTCCAAGGTAGAGATTTCCAGGGTGGGCATTGGTGAGATTTCAAGTCCTGAGCTTGGGTGAACTCAGATATTGGTGGGATTTTGATCTCAGGGACTCGGGGGTTTTCAAGCCCTGGAAGCAGGCTTTCTACCCTACACACATGTGCTAGGTGGGCACAGAAGTCAGATGACGATCAGGACTCAGTTCTTGCTTTCCACCAGTGGGATCTGGGGATCAAATCTTGTCTTCAGGCTTGGTGGCCAGCGACTTTACCTGCCCGAGTCATCTCATCAGCCCCAAGGCCATTATTAGAGATCCCATGTGTACTGTTCAACAGAAACCCTAGGTGGTTCTGCTGCAGGACAGCTATAAACCACATGCTAAGAAGCATGAGTACTCCTTTATACTTCTCAGTTTCAGTGAGTCTGAGGTTCACCAGGGTGACAGGAAAAATGAGCAGGTAGTTCTCATCAACAAGATCAGCATCAGCCTCACAGAATAACTGTCAGGATCAATGAAATTATGCAATTTACTCTGAAAAATGCAAACTCACCCTACACATCTAAAGAAACAGTAATTATGACCACTACTGTCAATAAATACATTCTCTTTAATTCTTCCCCCAGGGCCAGATATGGTGGCTCACCCCTGTAATCCCAGGCAGGAGACTGAGGCAGGATGATTGCTGTAAATTCAAGGCCAGTCTAGGCAGCATAATGGGTTCCAGGTTACAGAGTGAGATCCTGTCCGGAAAGACAAAGAAACTTGGCTCTTATCAACAATAAAATCACCACAGGATGTTAGCCTACTTTTTGAAATGAGAAATCTGAGGCTCAGAGGCATTACCAAATGATGAAACCTCTAGGATTCAAATTCCACAACAATTAAAAGAAGGGTTTCAAACCAGGCATGGTGATGACGCACGCTTTTAATCCCAGGACTCGGGAGGCAGAGGCAGGAGGATCTCTGTGAGTTTGAGGCCAGCATGGTCTACAGCGATAGTTCCAGGACAGCTAGAGCTACATAATAAAGAGACCCCGTCTCAAACAAACAAACAAATAATAAAGCCAGGTTTGGGTTTTAGGAGCCATGAAGACTCAGGCTAGAACCTGGTACTTTCTTAACAGTAGATCGGGCATGGATCCAACTTCTCTGGACTCAGTCTTCATCTATAAAAGGTACAGTAGAACTAGCAGCTCATCCATGAAGAGATAGGAAGGGAGACAGGGGAGGAACGGGCTGCAAGTTTGAGGCCAGGCTCCACTACAGGGTGTGTGTGCTCAAGGAGGGCAGAAGTCAAACCCGGGTGTCGCATTCCTCAGAAGCTGTTCCTCTTGGTTTTGGAGACAGGAACAGAAGGATGGCTGTCAGGCAGGGTGATGCACGCCTTTAATGGCAGCACTCAGAAGGCAAAGGTGGGCCAAAGTCTGAGTTCTGGGCCAGCCTAGTCTGTATGGTGAGTTCCACCAGGAGTACATAGCGAGACTTTATTTACAGCCTGGTTTAGAGAGTAGTTCCAGCATAGCCAGGACTACATAGAGAAACACTGTCTTGAGAAAAAACAAACAAAAACCCCAAACCCAACAAACAAAAAGAATGGCTGGTAGTCAGCCTATTCAAAATGACTGAATGCTGACATAATCGTTCCTTAAGGTTAGGTTTCTCAACCTGAGCACCAAGGGCACACAGGACACCATAGTTAGTTCATTGTTTGGTGGAGGGAGGCTGTCTTGTCTGCTGTCAATGTTTATAAGGCAGCATTCCAGCATCTCCCACAGACGGGACTACTAAAAAGATAATTAAATCTCCATACACTGTCCCCTGATCCTGGGAGGGAGAGAAGAGCCAAACTGCCCAGGCCAAACACCCCTGCTCTAAGGGAAGGGAGCAGAGAAGCTGTTTTCATGGGTGACTGTCAAGATGTATAAGATTTCAGTTGAGAAGTTATTCTTAGGGCTTTGATTAACAAGGTTATGCATGCCCTTTAGACACATAGGAGACTTAAGAAAGGCTACTTACCATATTCCAGAACTTGTCAAATGCAACCAGGAAGCCTGTGCAGACACCCCGAAGTCCTTTGAAGGTGCGGATGTGGACATTCACCTTGACTCCCTCTCGGATACAGCGGTGGAGTTCCCCCAGAGGGCTACCTTCATGCACTGAAACAGAAGCCCTTGGTCAGTGAAGGGTAACACCTGCCTCCACTGGCAGACCAGCCAGGGCCTCCTGCCACACTCGGCACACCCAAGGCAACCTCACTTTCACCAACAAAAGCCTTGTGAGTGGCAGGATTGGTACCGCCAACACACTCCAAAGAGAGGCCAGATTCCAACAGACTGTGGAAAAGCCACATGCGTAACTCAGATCTAAATCTTTCACTATCTATAAATGTCTCCTCTACTTGATGATGACAGTGATTCTAAGATGTACCATCACTCTTAAAAAATGTCTGCAGGCAAAAAAAAGAAATAAAGGGGAATGTTCGCACTAGTTGCTGGGTTCTTCCGAGTCCTGTGTTTTTCAGGATACTTCTGGTGAACTGTAACCCTGGGTCAATCCTCTTGGGAACCAAAAGCCAATTCAAGTGTTTGAAAGCAATAAACTGCCTCATGATGCCTTTAAATCCATGCTACCCCCTCAAAGGAAATGGCCTTCGGAGAATTTAATATTATTCATTAAAATAAAAACGTATCTTAAGCCAGGCATGGTGGCACACACCTTTAATTCCAGCATCCAGAAGTCAGAGGCAGGAGGATCTCTGAGTTCAAGGCCAGCCTGGTCTACAGAGTAAGTTCCAGGACAGACAGGGCTACATAGAGAAACCCTGCCTCAAAAAAACAAAAATAAATAAATATAAAAATAAAAACCTATTTTATAAATATGACCATTATAGTTATTTCTACGGGTGCAGAGAGTTGTTCATCTGAGTAATTTTATATTATGTGCCGTCAAAGTCTAAAGTTGTAAACTGGGTGTGGAGGCAGATGCAGGCAGATCTCTATAAATTCAAGTTTAGCGGTTCAGAAAATGTAAATTTGTTTCGATGTTTATAATTTTATCTATTTTATTTTAATCAATACGTTGTTATGGCTGCCTTTAAGATGAATTATATATTTTTTAAATTTAAAATTTCTATTTTTCCATTTGTCATATATAATATTAGGTTTCAAACATGACATCCTGTTTGTTTTTGTTGTGGAATGGCCTTTTGATGTGTAGCCTGTAGGAGCTCCTGAAGTTACTGGTATTTCAATGCACATCTTCACACTGGGAGGGAATGGATGTCTGCTGAGCATCCGGCTCCTCAGAGTCCTAACAAGCACCTTGTGAACACAGCAATGTGACCATGCAAGGGAGGAATAACGGGCAAGAAAGACCCAGTTTTCAGGGTGAGAGATTCTCTTGCAGAGCTTGGGGCAGTGACAGGCTTTTCTTACTTCACGTCAGCTTCTCTTTTGTGCTCTGCTGGTTCTAGCATTCAAACAGACAGACACTTCCCCCAAAGAACCCCAATACATTTTTAAATAAAAACTTCATTATTGCTAGGAGCATAAGAGAGAACAGTCTTGGACTTCAGTTCAGATAACTGATTTCCTCATTCATGAGTTGGCGTAGAAATGAATACTGTGACAAATGAAGGAAAATCCTCTTGGAAGGAAATGACTCAACAGACGAAAGTGGGAGTCTATGTGACAGATTGGAAATGAGGTAACCCAGTAGAGTCGCAGGCAAAAACTGACAGATTGGAAATGAGGTAACCCAGTACAGTCGCAGGCAAAGTGATAGAAACATCGGTCTCAGAAAGGAAGCAGAGAATGCTGCTGGTCATTGACGTGCCTTTTGGCAATGGCGTTGAACCCTTGTTAAGTGTGTATGTGTGCATGTGCATGCACACACCTGTACATAGATTTGTGTGTGTCACAGACTTTCTGAAATCAGGTATGTAAGCAGCATTCAGACCTTACTCAGAGCAACCTTGGTAAGTGACTTTTTCCTTATAAGTTTAAGTTTCCTCATTTGTAAAAGGAAATTGGACTAGTGACCTTCTAGATCACTTTTGGGAATAAGTCTCTGTAATTCAACTTATTGAAACGCATCACAGTGTCTCGGTTAGACCCTCTGCACACAAATATGTACTGTCCTGTCTCCTACGCATGTGTTTTCACAAAGTGGAAGTTCTCTTTCTAATTTGAACAAAACAAAGGGCCTTACTGTAGCTTCCTAAGACAGGGGGAGCAAGCACGCATCTTAACTAAGCAAACAACAACTCGGGGATCTTAATTCTTACATCTGTAATGTTCTTCTGATTTCTCTTCTTCCAAAGACTCAACAAGCTGTAGTTCCAGGAAGCATTCATTTCTTTCCATAAATGGTTAAAATACAACATTAGCACCACCTATGAAAACAAGCTATCAAGGCAGAAATGAACCTTCCATTCTAAGACTGAACATTCTTTTCCAGCCATTTCCCTGTCCACAGCAAGGGCCCCGTCCACAGCAAGGGACCCGTCTACAGCAAGGGCCCCGGTCTGCTAACCGCTAACCGCTAACTTCGCACTCAGTCACACAGGGCACACTTATGGCTGTCATGAGTAGAGGAGGTAATCCTCCCCTGTCTGAGGACATCTGCAAGATGGATGAGGTCATCCGGACAGGTTGTGGGGTTGAAGTAGTGTCTCCTGGAGCCATTATAGAGTAACATTGTAGGGCTGAAGTCCTGTCTACCAAGGTGACAGCTGTCAGTATGATGGCCTCCAAACAGGCCTAACAGCTACAGAGATTTCTGTGATCAGATTGACCACAACTGGGGGTGACATGTCCCAGGTGGCTGAAACAAAGTGTTGCTGGGCAGACACCAGGCATTAAAAGTAGCCATAGTTCCAGCTGGACGGTGGCGCACACCTTTAATCCTAGCACTCTTAGGAGACCGAGGCAGGCAGGTCTCGGTGAGTCAGAGGCCAGCCTGGTTTACAGAGTGAGTTCCAGGACAGCCAGAGCTATGGAGAGAAACTGTATCAAAGAGGGAGAAAAGTAGCCATCGTTCCTAACAACTGTCCTCCAACTGTGCAAGTGGCTGGTTGATTGACAGCTCCAGAGTTTCTGAGAAGGTGGTGCTGGAGCAAGAGTACAGTCACCACCTTCCCTGGTGTAGGCCTCAGGAGTGGCAACAAGGTCCTTCACAGCATCACCGGGCTAGGGACCACACAGATAACAACAGAAGTTCCTATCTGACCTACTACGCTGCCCGACATGATGGGTTGGCTGCCCAGGCAGTGTGGGCTACAGAAGGACGCTGGGAGGGTTCTGACAGCTGCCAATTAAGAGACTGAAATGCTCACACGTTCACAACTTCAGTCATTTAAAAAGGTAAATGTAACACGGATTGCTAAACGGTCTTATTAATTTAAAAAACAACAACAACAACAACAACAAAAAACCCGGGGCCAGACATTGGGGTGAAAGCAGAGAAACAGAACAAGCCAGCCAACCTCACCTCGCCGACTCCTCAGCCAATCCTGTTTCCATGAATCCTCAGACTGGAAGCCTCTGGGTCCTCACCCCTAAGGGTCTCAGTTGAACTGCTGCTCAAAACCCTCTAGTTCCTGGTTCTCTCGCCTTAGATACCTTTCTGCTTCCTGCCATCACTTCCTGGGATTAAAGGCGTGTGTTCTTTCCAAGCAACAGTGAGATCTCAAGTGCTGGGATTAAAGGTGTGTGCCACCACGCCTGGCTCTGTTCCCTGTGTGGCCTTGAACAGGAATTAAAGGTGCGTGTGCCACCACTGTCCGGCCTCTATGTCTAATCTAGTGGCTGGCTCTGTCCTCTGATCCCCAGATAAGTTTTATTTGTTAGAGCACAAATAAAATATCACCACACGTAAACAAAATATTAAGACATGCTCACAGCAAAGACCTACCACAAAGTTCACCTGCTTTTCTGGTGAGCTTTATCTAGTACTGTCTAACCCAAGGTCCTCCTGGTGCTCACAATTATCTCACTCCAATTTCTGGCCGAAGAGGCTCAACAGCATGAAAGTAATTTGTTCAGCCAACCCTCTACACAACAATCAGTCACAAGTGTTCTGACCTTTAATTATGTCAACTTGGAAATAATAATGACCGCCACTACAGGAACCTACAGAAAGTGACAGCAGACATTGTAGAAACCTCCCCTACTAGAGAATGTCACTGTTGCAAATGTTTTCAAAGTGTTGATAAATTTAACCCTTACAGACAGAGCGGCACTACTTTCATTACCACGTTGGAAACGTCAGGTCCAATGGTGTAACTCCCCTAAAATACAACAACTGGAAGTCGATGAAGCCAGCGTTCAAACCAAGGGGAACACTATACATCTGTGAAAATTCTGGCCTCTGCTACATGTTAAGTACACTGAATAACTTGAGTTTTGAAAACTGTGTTTTCATCTACGTCCTTCTTTAACTTCAAATCATAAAGGTGACCCTTGGAAAACTCCTTAACAAATAGAATCCGCTGACTTTAATCATTTACTCGCTTTCTGAAGGTGATTCTTTGTGGTATCTACCCATCTCTCACGGTACTCCCAACTGCTTCACGGTTTTCCAGTGATGAGGGCTAATGCTACGAGGTCTTGACTCCAGAAATGAACTTAAGAGAACCCAGATGAAGCTGGTCTTCACACAGTCCTAACACTGGAGAACCACTCTTGAGTGCTTCCCTCGACAATCTTGGCAGCAAGGCAGTAAGAAGAATCGATGGGAATAAATGTTACATTCTTGCGACTTGGGTGCAATTCAACAAGCTAACAGAGGCAAAACACACAGCAAAAGAAGGGACTGTGACTGCTCGTTCCAGAACCATGCACTTTCTGTCTGTCTGCTACTGCTGTGCAAGTCGGCTCTGAAAAATCGGAGCTGGGCAGGGAGGCTCTGGTACAGTCTGTCATCCAACAAAGGCACCAGCAGCAGCACACAGCTTTTCAGGATGTTTCTCTCTTAATAAACAAATTTCTAGGAACATGACAAAACAAAATCTCCTGCTGAGTTCACTCCTCTCGTCCAAAAGAAGTCCCTTTAACATTGTAACGCTTTAATTAGCCGGCTACAGAAGCTCTGACTGGCTAAGTAGGTCACTGTGTTCACAGGGCACATGTCAGAACTATTTGGTATAACCCTAGGCTGTTTTTATTCCATTTATACAAGACCTAACTAGCACATTAGAACCTTTGCTGTTTACAGCTTCATCCTGAGGATCGATTAGGAAGCTGCAAGAAATTCCTTTGTGCCATTTACACCTTCAGAATTTAAAACAACCTGCACACTGGCCAACTTGAGCCTGACAGATATTCTGCCCCAGCCAGTGGCTGTAAAACCACACCTGTGATTTGGTGGCATCCTGTGTCTGCGGCATTCTAACACTAGTGATTTAGTTAATATGAACATAAGTGGATCAAGTCCCCGCAGCCAATTTTGCAAACGGCACCCCAGGCGGAGCTGTCACTTCCCATGCTGGGATATGAAATGCCTCTCGTGCTATGAGAACAGATCTATCGCCTCACTCTCCACCTGACCCTCAGATCCCATTCACCTTAAGACTGCCTGTGCTTCAACACAACTTCTACACGTCTCCTGCTCACCTCCCTGCAGTGGGTCCCCAAGACCTGTCACCACTTCTGTAGACCTCTAATGCTCCCCAAACTCTGTCTGCAAAGCCCCATGATCGCTCCGCATGCCTCATGACTCCCGCAGCCCCTCTGCAGCAGCTCTCCACCTGGGAACACTCCTCCAGACATCAACGGCCCCTGCAGATCTTCCCCCGGGGGTCGTCACTCTCCCTCGTCCTCAACTCGTGCAGAGCCTCTGTGCCACCCTCCCCGCAAACCCCCCCCCCCCCGAGACCCCCGTAGATGACCTCTGCAAACCCTCCCTGGACCTCCCGCCGCGCCGCAGCACTCACAGGGCATTCGCGTGAGCACATTGCGTGGCGCCTTCTTGCTGCGCCCCGGGCCCTGGCGCCGAGCCCCGGCCGCGCCGTCCGCGTCCTCCTTGACCACCATGAGGCGGCGCAGACGCTGGATGCGCTCGGGATCTGGGGTGGGCGCGGCGCGGCGACGGGCCCTGCTCGAGGTCCCGGCTCCCGTGGAGGTGCCGGTGGAGGTTCCCGCCGAGGCCGGCTCCCCCGTGCCCCGCGCCCGGCCGCGCCCGGTGCGCCCGCCCTTCAGGAAGCTCTCGTACTCCGCCACGTTGTTAAAGCAGGGCGCGTTGGGGTAGGGGATGGGAGGCAGGCGCGGCGAGTACAGGGCCAGCAGCGGGTCGAAGCTGTAGGAGCTGACGTCCAGCCGCGGGCTGGGCGGGCTGGCTGGGCTGCCGGCGCGAGCCGACCTCGCCCCCCACTCGCGCTCCTCCATGTTTGAAAGGCCCGCAAGCCGAGGCCGATGGGAGGGAGGAAGGAGCCGGGCCGGCAGAGGGCGGCACTGCGCAGCCGCAGCCGCGGCTTGGGGGTGTGTCGGGGGAGAACGCACTGTGCAGCCGCTGCCACCAGGGGGCAGCATCGACCAGCTCCGGAGAGCTGCAGGGGGCGTGGCGCGGGGTGGGGGCGTGGTGAGAGGCGTGACCTGCCCGGGCCTCGCTCCGCCCCCACAGATGGCTGACAGGTTGAGGCTGTCCTCTGACCTTTTTGTTTTGTTACTGAAGTAGATACTATTTCTTAGTTCTCATTTTCCCACTCCCATTGACATTTACTATCTTTTCTGAATTTGAGATCTAACGTCAACAAAATACGCAATTAGGGACAAATTATTCAAAAACAAAGCCAACATTCTGGGGGCTGTACAAAAATTGACCATTTATTTTAAAAAACTCATTGATACTTAACTGACAGCTTTAGGGCGTTTGATGCTGCGGGCTGGACCCCGAGTCCCGCATTTTAAAGTCCGAGGACATTCTCTGTTGTCCAACTTGAGTTGGAGACAAAGGACAGGACAACAAGGCATATCCCATACCGTTAAGTACTACTCCTGACATGGGCCGAGTTAGCTCATCTGGGCTCAAATTATTGAGCCTCTTTGGTTTTTTCCTGTCATCTGAAATATGACAGGAAGGGTACAGAGCACACAGTGGGTGCACGTTAGCTGGTTAAACACTATAAAAGATGGGTGACTCCAATCCTCATCGCCTTTCTCTGCTCACTAAGACTGGAGACCCCTTAGTATCAAAGAAAAGGAAATTCACTCCGTCACCGTTTTCCTGGGTTCTGCAAACTCCAAAGGATCCTGTGAGCGAACTGACACTATTTGACAGCTCTAATTCAGCAAAGCCACGCTATAGCTCCTGTGTATGTCTGCACCATGTGCGATCAGTGCCAGCAGAGGCCAGTGTCAGATCCCCTGGAACTGGAGTTACTGATGATTGTGAGTGGCCATGTGGGCCCAGGGAATTGAACCCCAGTCCTCTGGAAGAGCAGCCAGTGCTCTTACCCCAAGCCATCTCTCCAGTCCCAAACTAATTTCTTTTAAGTGCATCTCCTGTAATAGTACCTCAATCCAGCAGGGCCGACCTATTTCCTGCCATCTCCAGCCACACAAGTCACTCTCCTCACCGCCACCACCTTCTCAGAGTATCACACAAGTCACTCTCCTCACCGCCACCACCTTCTCAGAGTATCACCCAAGTCACTCTCCTCACCGCCACCACCTTCTCAAAGTATCACCCAGTCTTAAGGCTACACTAGCTGCTTTGGGGTTTTATTTACTTTCTGAGTTTGAAAATGTGACCCAAAAGGATACTTGAATATCTTCAAGACAAAGACGAAAATTAACATGCGACTATGAGAAACGCAGTGGGATGAAATCACACAAAATAAAAATCAAGCATTAGGTCAGCGATGGTTTCCTTTTTTTAAATATTTATTTACTGTTATGTGCACTGGGGTGTGCCTGCATGTATGTCTGTGTGAGGGTATCTGATCCCTTGGAACTGAAGTTACAGACAGTTGTGAGCTGCCACGTGGGTGCTGGGAATTGAACCCAGGTCGCTGGAAGAGCAGCCAGTGCTCTTAACTGCTGAGCCATCTCTCCAGTCCAGTAATCGTTTCTTGATGGCACTGGTATTAAACCTAGTTTATTGCTTTAAAATCCCCTTCGAGGGTGAAAACCTCCATGCCACATAACTACCAGTAAATGACTGTCTTAGGACAAGTCCAGAGATAGGCTTCCCAGTATCTGAAAGCACAAACTTTCTCTAGGGGTTGTCATGAAACTTGGTTTTTATTCCCTACTTGTCCAACTTTGATATAAAATGCTATCAACTTACCATTAAGTTAAATTTGCTCATCGGAGCTAACGATCTCACTGCTTCATCAGTATGCAGAGGGAATTGCTTGCCAAAAATGCTATAATGCTGACGGCCATGTATCAGAAGCCTTTGGGCTTAAAAAAAAAAATCACATTGCTGAGTCCCAAATATCCACATGGGTGTCTTACATTGGCACTTCAAAATTAAGCATTCAAACGAATATTCTTAAAATGTACCCAGAAGTCTCTGGATGTCTGCCATGTGGGTACATACATCCTAACTTTCTCAAAGACATACACACAAGTTAGACTCACTCTGTAGAAACCAATTAAGTAGGCCAAGGAGTTGAAATCTTTATTATACTTTTTTTCCCCTTAAAAAGATTTTAGCAGTTACCAAACATGAGCTCTCTTGCTTCTTCCTGGGGAGTGGGGAGAACAGGAAGGAAAAAAATGGCATCAGCAGATGGGGTGTCAATTAGTGAGGGATGAGGCCAGACGCTGCACTTTCAAAAATACATTTTCTTGGCTGTAAATTCTGCAATCCAGACCAGGAAGCAGGACATGGGCTGTCTTTTAATTAATTCCTGGTGGGGGCAAATAATCTTTTTCCTTTAAAATATAAAACAAGGTCAAGAGGAAACGTGACTTTCCTATTGAATCCAACACACCTCGGCAACAAATGATTTCCATTACTACTCTCTGTCCCCTTGCCGACTCCATCCCACCATTAGCAGGAGGAAGGGCTTTTTTTTTTTTTTTTTTTAGTTTTTTTTTTTTGAGACAGGGTTTCTCTGTGTAGCTTTGCGCCTTTCCTGGAACTCGCTTTGGAGACCAGGCTGGCCTTGAACTCATAGAGATCCGCCTGCCTCTGCCTCCCGAGTGCTGGGATTAAAGGTGTGCACCACCACCACCGACTGGCAGGAGGGGCTATTTTAAAACCTCTGAAATTCCAAGGCTACACAGAAAAACCCTGTCTTGAAAAAAAAAAAAAAACCAACTCTGAAATCAGTAGAGCCCCCAACCCCAACTCCACCTTTTTACAGTCTTGCCATGTAGTCCAGCTTGGCTTCAAACATTTACTCTTCCTGCCTCAACCTCCTGAGAACTGGGATTAGGCTAAACCACAGTATCAGGCCTCCTGGTGCTCCTGAATTCAAATGTTACAGTTCTGACTACATGGAGGCTATTTGGAAATGCTTGCCCAGAAGTCTAAGCCGAAGTCAGCTTTTCCAACTGAAGTACTTCCAGTGTCCATGGAGTAGCTGTTTCTCCATCCTCATTCATACACACACATATAGCTCCCTAAAATACCTTTTCTTCAGAAGAGTTAAGTGACTGGAAACTATGTCCCTGGTCAGAGATGATGATGATCATGCTAACAGTTGCAGAAAAATCAATTCTGGAATGGTGCAGGACACCCAAACCACCCCTCATTTGTTCGGCTGCAGCTGCCACCCCGAGGAACTGGCACAAAGCCTCAAGTGTTCCCTGGGATTCCTCAATCTGGAGGCATCGTGCAGGCAGGCACCCATATTTAACTTCATGCCAAAGATGAGCGCAAGTACACGGCTGTCAGAAGTGGAATTTTCAGTCACCACGTTCTCTAGTTAAGAAAGGTGGGTGAGGGTAAAGTTTGGGCTCCTCTTCTATCAGGGGTGAAAAGAGACGACAGGTTTTTATAAGGCTTATGCCACAGCTAAAAATGACTCCGCCAGCAAAGCATGAATAGTTCCTTTATAAAAATAGGATCATGATTTTGAAAAGAGCCAAAGAAGTCATGTTCTAACACCGTAAAAAAAAAAAAAAAAAAGGTATTCTGCTTCAGCACAGTAAGATATACCGCCCCCGTCCATTGCTTCTTTCTCTGTCTCCACCCAGCTCCAGCCACATCACTCCTTCCAGTGTTCTTGGGGCTAGGAATGCTCGAGCCACCTAAGGAGAGGAGACTCAGGGAGCCCTGCATGGCTGAGCACAGAAGAACTGCAGGGTGCAGGGTCAGTTCCCTTCCTCCAGAATGTCTGGGTGTTCCTTCCAGAAAGCATCCCCAATGAGGTCGCAGTACAAGGGCAGCGGCCTGGTTCTGGTCCGTGTTATGGTCATCTTTTTCCCTTCCATTTCTTCTGGTAGCCTAATTTCTTGTGTCTTGACTTCATCCACCTATGGGCAAAAGTAGGGACAGTGTTGTGAGTGGGAGAGGGACACAAAGAGAATTATGGGAGAAATTCACCTTTTTACTTGATATGCCACTGACTGTTAAGAGTTTTATCAACAAGGTAGACATCTTTCTTTCTAAGTAGAAATACAAATTAGGTTGGCATGGAGCATACACCTTTAATCCCAGCACTTGAGAGGCAGACAGATTTTTATGGGTTCAAGTCTAGCCAGGCCTGCATAGTGCGTTTCAGGCTAGCCAGGGCTACACAGTGAGCCCCTAACTCAGAAACAAACAGAACGAAACAGTACTTTTAGGGCTGTGGCTGGAGATTTGTGGTAGAGTTCCTCTCTAGCAAATGTAAGGCCCTGGGTTGATGCTTAGCAACACAAAATTTTCAACAACAACAAATCTCGTAAAAAGATCACTTTACTGTATTGTGAAAAGTGACTGTGATGACTGGCGTTAATGTCATCTTGCCACCAATTAGAATCATCTGAGTAGGAAGACTCACTGAGGAATTTTCCAGACTGTCTTACCTGATTCTCAGTGTGGGAAGCACTTTCTGATACCAAACCCAGCTCCCATCACTGACTTGGGACCAGCAACCCAGGAGCCTTGCAGGAGCCTTGCAGGTTTTCAGTGCCGGGGTGGGACTACTGAGCCACCCAGCCCAGTGAGCTGTGCAATTACAGGGTTCTCTCCCTTGCCAGTGTGAGACAGGCCCTGAGGGACAACTCTAACTGCTGAGACACCTAGCCCAAGAACCAGGTAACTAACGGGTCCTCATCCTCTTAGGTGTGAGACAACAGTTGTACTATGTTAGTGTAAGTTGATTTAATAATACACACACACACACACACACACACACACACACACACACACACACACACACACACACACACGAGTACATATTTATACTTATATTCATCCTATTGTTCTGTTTCTCCAGAGGCACCCACTACCACAGCAGACTTAGGAACCAAGGGGACTCATTTCCTAGTTATCACTGACTATGGAACTGAAGGCATTTTCCTCTGCCCACATAAACATCCAAAGCTGTACCAAAGAACAAACATGTAAGAAAAAGCTAATAAATGAGCTGAGGTTGCCAGTGGGGCCGATGGCTCTTAAGGTACCCTTTAGTTCTTGAAAGCACTCATTCAGAAATAACTAACATGAAAAGAAATCAGTTTAGAGAAATAAGTATGCCTATGAGCTGAGAGCAGAGAAAATATTGGTGGAAGTAAGTATAGAGGCATCCAAGAATACTAAGGCAAGTTATGAATTTCTGGGGGAATCTCAGGAAATTGCTGAAAGCCAAAGTCTCTTTTGCTCCCTCCATCCCCATTTTATAGTATCTCTTAGTGCTCAGTACTTTGGCTGGCTTGGAGTGGATGGACCACTTAATGATACGGGGAAGAGTATTTTTTTAAATGTTTTATGAAAGCAAAATTCTTCCGATCTATAGTCTACTCCTTAAAAAATATTTATTTTATTTTTTAAGATAGAGTCTCACTATGTAGCCCTGGCTGGCCTAGAACTCATCATGTAGACCAGGCTGGCCTTAAACTCAGAGTTCTGTCTGTCTCTGCCTCCTGTGTGCTGGGATTAAAGATGTGCGCCACCACGCCTGGCTTATTTTTACTTTATGAGTATTTTGCTTCTGTGTATGTACAAAGGCATACCACATGCATGCTGTGCCTGAGGTCAGAAGGAGGAACTCAATCTCCTGGGACTAGAGTTACAAATGATGGTGAGCCACCATGTGGGTGCCGGGAACTGAACCCAAGCGATCTAGAGAGGAACAAATGCTCTTAACTGCTGGGCCATCTCTCCAGCTCATACTTTGCCCGTTAAGAGGGTTTATTTGATATGAGGACACAGAAAACAAGGACTAGTTTAAAGTTCTGTGATACTGTTTACATCAACCCTGAGAGATTCCAGGCCACTGCTGACTGAAAAAATGAGCATCCAAATTGTTCCTCCCCAGAGTCTCCTATTGGAAAGTATCGATGCCACATTAGCAACCAGCACCGTACCCACACATGGGGTGGTGGGCAAAACCTTACCTGGGGGAGACTAGGGCTCCCACATTCTGATCACCATTTTTCTCTGAATATGTAGCCTTACCTTCTGCCACACCAACACTGTCCCTTTCCTGTACATCTGCGGCTCATCATTGTAGTTGATGTGGAACTCAGAGAACAGGATCTCATTCTTGTCTGCTGTCACAGTTCCCTGAGGAAACGTGGAGAGAGGAAAAGCTCAGTTGGTCTTTCTCCTACACTCCCACCACCCAGGAGGATTGTTAGAGCTCATCGTACTGTTACTAATAGATTTTCATTTGAATTAAAATTCCAGTCAGTCTACCGCTGAGCTATACCCCAGCCCCTGGCATTCTAATCTAGTGGGGATTATTACTAGCCCCTGATATCCTCATCTAATCTAGATGTCTACATTCATCAAGTGCCCTTCTGCTGTAAACCCCAGTTGCACTGTCCAGACTATGTGGGGTTTGCTAACAGTAAACAAGAACTCTGTATCTAAACTTGGTGTTAATGTTTCTTACTTGATTTCCAGGAAGAACAAGCAGAGGAAGGCTGTCTTTACCCCTCTAAGAGGAAGCAAACTCTGAGGTGGGCTCTAACTAGACATGGCTGCTGGCGTTCCTACTGGTGTGAAGTCTCTGCTACTGACAGTATTAGCAAAGACAACCACCTCAGTAATCACAAAGGAGGAGATCTATCAGGACCGGTCACAGTGCGTCAATCACTGGAGAACCAGTCACCCCACAGGCAACAGTGTCATCTCAGAAGAAGGCCAGGACTTACTCAGCACTTACTTCTCCATGGATTAATGCATCAGGGCATGTTCTTTCTATAAACCTATGAGGTAAGAACTATTACTTCTAAATTGTACTGAGCGGAAAGGATACACAGAAGTATGGTTATTTGATTCCCAGAACACTGACTGTCACTATACTCAGGGGTTCTCAACCTAAGAAGCAACAAAAGCCCAAGAGGACCTGACATGAGGGAAGAGGCTGCGCAGGACTATGGAGAAGAGCGCATGCACCGGTTAAAGAGGGGAGCTAAGACGCAGTTGTAGCCAAGTGTAAGCACGCTGTCACAGCAGCTCAGCGGGGAGTAATAACCAATCCCTGCCGACAGCAAGCAAGGCAAGAGCTCCTGCCACGGAGAGCTCTATAGCCTTTCAAAATGGACCTGTAAAGGAAGCTAAGGAACCACAGAGAACCCTCCAGGAATGTTATGAGAGACCAGCTGTGTTTCTGTCATAGGATCTTTATACCTTTAATCTCTCCTGGGCTTGGACTGGTGTTAGTCCAGACTGCTGGATAAGGGCCCAGAAAACTGTATTATAAAGATTATTGATGTGACCTGTGAGGAAAACAAAATAACATTTATATATACTGAATCTTAGTTATATATAAACATATATTATTATGTATTATAGTATATGTACTGTGTTTTACATATAGACTATTTATGCTTCCAGGAACCCACAACCCAGCTTCTCTCCACTTTAGAGTACACAGATCTCAGGGACGTTCAGTGGCTTGCCCAGTCTGCCTACACAGGGAACAGACGGGGAAAGGGCTAAGCATGTAAAACGTATTTCCTGAAGCCAGCTTCCAGTGGTCATTTCAGTAATGCCTTATGCAAATATGTTGACTTAGGTGTTCATTCTAGAAACATTTTCCAAGCTACTGGATTCATACTATTTCCATTTTGTTTCCAATTTTTCTGGCAAAACAAAAACATGCAACTACCAGCCTCACTGTAGTCGTGTACAGCAGGCATCACAACACAAATACCACTGATGCTGGCACTGGTGCTCTGTAAGTTCACAGAGCAGTGGGTAACTGCAGGGGACTGGCAGGGAGTAGCAGGGACTGTGTAGCTTATGACTTCATGTGTGTGTGTCTGTGAGTTTGTGTTTCAGAGCAAAAAGGTAGCTGCCACCACAGAGGCTCTGCATAAACTGCGTGGAAATGCAAGACTGCCTTATCTTCTGATTTTAAAAAGCAAACAGGAGCTGGAGAAATGGCTAAATGGGTAAGAGGTCTTGCTGTGCAAGCCAGAGGACCTGAGTTCGGATGCCAGCACCTGTGTAAGAAGCTGGGCACAGCTACATGCACCTGGAACCCCAGAGCTGTTGGAGATAGGAGGATCTCTGGGCGTGCTGGCTGCCAGACTTGCTCCAGGAATAAGGCAGAGCAGAGTGACAGAACAGGACATCCTACTTCCTCCTCTGGCTCTACAACACTTGTAGAGGCAAGCAAAGGTAAGCACATGCATGCACACATACATTCACATAGAAACATTCATTTGCACACACACACACACACACACAGAGCGCAAACAACTACAGGTCATTTCCTTGTAAAATCACCTAACTTTTCAAATATTGTTAACTAGTGTATGAGAGCGAGCTGGGTGTGGTGGCACACACACTATTACACAGACCTTTTAGAGCTAAGGCAGGATTTGAAGTCAGCCTGGGCTATAGAGAAAGACTACTGAAGAGAAAAAAAGAACCTTTTTTTTTTTTTTTTTAAACGCTTGACTCCAAACAATGTACCAATGAGCCAAACTTGTATCAGATCCACAGCTCTAATGTACAGATTTGGTGTGTGACTTGAACTGTGTCCATCGTGCCACTTACAGTCTGCCTGCCGCCAACTGAGGTAGTCCTTCAAGGTCTGGTTGCTAGGATACAACACGACTCTTCCATCAAATCCTGGGGGATACAGAAGGGGCTGGTCCTCAAAGTAATCCGGCCAATAAAACACGTAACTGGAGGCGAACTGGGAGGCCACGAGAGTCATGAACTTACTTGCAAACGCAAGGCAGGTCGGGTAGAAGAAGGGAAGAGAAAGTGTTTGATATTAATTCGACACCAAGATAGGACCTGTGGATGCAACAGAGAAATTACACAAACTGTCCAACCAGCCAGAAGACAAAAGATATTCAGCTAAGACAAACTTTGAACATTCTGGCTGTATGTTTTGAATGTAGCCTGCCTCTACGTAAGTTACTCATTGTCTTAGTCAGGGCTACTGTTACTGCAATGAAACACCATGACCAAAAGCAACTTGGGCAGGAAAGGGTTTATTTGGCTTACACTTCCATATCACTGTTTGTGGTGGTATTTTACTTGTACTGAAATGTGATTTTAATTGTATGTTAATAAATAAAGTTGCCTGGGGGTCAGAGCTATTAGAGCCATAGCAAGTGCGTGGCGGCGGTGGCGCACGCCTTTAAGGACCTGGAGGGCAGTACATTCAGGCAGCGATGAGGCAGTCACATGTTTGGGTTTACAACCAATGAGAAGGCAGAACAGCTAGACTATATAAAGACATACGCACAGGAAGTAGCCCCTTTTTCGGAGAGCTCTCTTGGCTGAAGAGGATCCCTGAATCAGGAAGGGTGAGGCTCTTAGCTCTGACCTCTTGGCTTTCTTCTCTGAATCGGCTCTGTGTTTCTTATTTAATAAGACCGTTGGTTACATCTACAACTGTTCATCATCAAAGGAAGTCAGGACAGGAAGCCAGGACAGGAACCCATGCAGAGTAGGAGCCTAGAGGCAGAGGCTGATGCAAAGGCCATGGAGGGGTGCTGCTTACTGGCTTGCTCACCATGGCTTGTTCAGCCTGCTTTCTTACAGAATCCAGGATCACCAGCCCAGGGATGGTACCACCCACATGATCTGGGCTCTTGCTCTATCAATCACTAACTAAGAAAATGCCTGACAGGCTTGCCTACAGCTGGATCTTCTGGAGGCATTTTCTTAATTGAGGTTCCTTCTCGGAGGCCTTGAGCTTGGATCAAATTGACATAAAACTATCCGGCACACTCCAAATTTTCCTCCATAGGATGTAGTATAAATTTATGGTTCAAGATTTTGTTGTTTTTCTTTTGGGGTTTTGGTATTGTTTTCAGTCTTGGAAGAAAGGGAACCAATATTTTAAAAACATACCAATTCATCATATAATTTGATTCCTCTAAGAGTTTCTTTCTCTCTTTCTTTTTTTTTTCTAGCCTGAGCTGAATTGCACAGAGACAATAATCTAAGAGTTTAACATACTACCAAATTAAGTATCAAATTTATCTTCTTAGTTAAAAGTTTAAGCCGGGCGGTGGTGGCGCACGCCTTTAATCCCAGCACTCGGGAGGCAGAGCCAGGCGGATCTCTGTGAGTTCGAGGCCAGCCTGGACTACCAAGTGAGTTCCAGGAAAGGCGCAAAGCTACACAGAGAAACCCTGTCTCGAAAAAAAAAAAAAAAAAAAAAAGTTTAAATAATACTTTAATGCATGGAAAGAATGACACTGGCCAAGCTACCTATGAATCACTAATACTCTATTTTTCTACTCTCTGTTTACAGTCTAAATAGTCAATGTAAGTCAGCCTGGGAGCTGGACTGACGGGATACAGACGGGAAAGAATCAGATAAAGAAAGCATCTGAAAAAAATAGATTGCACAAGAATGCTCAGACCTCAGTTGAAGGAAACAGCCAAAATAGAAAATGTGCACTCTGTAGATGCAACATCACCCAAAATATTAAGCTCTCAACTGTTGCCAAGATAAACAGAAGAGCAGAGAACAGGAAAAAAAACACCCTAATGGAGGGCTGGTTTTGAAACTCACCTGGCTCTTCTTTTAAACCAATTGCTTTTCTGCCTGAACACAAAGCTGTACTCATCACTCTGTCCATATGCAATCACAATGTCCTCCAGCTCCTCCATTACTGTCTGGGCACATTTGGTCATCAGATTGAGAGCTCGACTGTCATTAGGTTTTGTAAAGTTGTGTTTCTCAGCAAACCTTCATAGAGGAAAGAGAAGGGCACAGACAGTGAAGAGTCGGTCATTACTACATCAGCTCACAGAGCAGTTAAGAGAGGATGATGCTGCAAGCGTGCTGCTGGCTACAGCTTAACATATTTCCTTGAGAACTGCAGCAGAGATGGAGAAATAGCTCAGCAGGTAAACTGTTTTATAAATATGAAAACCAAGTTCTATCCCTGAATCATAAAAGGGGGGCGGTGTTTCTGGCACCCACTTGTAATCCCAATGCTGGGGAGGTGGAGACAAGAGGATTCCTGGGACTAGATGACCACCAGGCTTGGTGAGTTCTAAGGAAGGTTCATGAGAGACCCTGTCTCAAAAAAGACAAGGTGGACAGGTATAAGGAGTGACACCCAAAAACTGACCACATACTTACATACAAATAAGCGCGCGCGCGCGCGCACACACACACACACACACACACACACACACACACACACAAATTGCAAGGTTTTTTTTTTTTTTCCTTGCTTTTGACCAACTGACAAAAAGGAATACAACTGCTGGGCTTCAATTCACTTTCCTGTGACGTTCACCTTACTGGGTAAATAGAGGATGTTACCTTATTAGTCCTGATGATTAGGAGATCAAGATGTAATTATGCCTGGCTCTTATGAAGTGCTCGGTACACATTATTATAGCTATATGGACTTATACAGTTAGAAAATAATAATAACTAGCAATAACGTAACACTTTTCTGAAACTAACTCCCCATTGGTTTACTTTGTCTCCCTCTTTTTTCCACTGACTGTAGTGCGGTCAGTCCATGAAATATGAAGCTGACAATGAGAAAGGGATATACTATCAACTCCTGCCCACAGCTAGGCTTCCGCAGGCCTCTTAACAGTCAGCCCTCAAAGAAAACAGAAGGGCTGTACACTTGGCTGAAGTTTAAAGTAGTGGCCCGGGAAGTGACTTTTCCCCTGACAAATTTCTTGCAAACTGGTTTCTACTTAAGTAGCAGGGCTCTTCACTAATTACACTATCCGGCTTCTTTTAAGTATCCCAGCCAGGGGGCAGCAAATTCTGACCGTAGCAAGCCCTTCCGGTGACGCTCAATGCTGAGTGCTCATTGGCTGCTGCGTTACCCCAGTAACTGGGAGCCGCGCATTTCCCGGAAGTGCAGGCGCCGCACGCGGTCTCCCGCCCCATCAGCTCACCGGTGGAAATTCCGGCCGTCCAGCCGCACCACAACCCAGCAGTGTGGCAAGCAGGTATCGTCAGCCTCAAAATCCCGCACGTACTCAAACTTGCTCTTGGCCATGGTCACCCCCAAACCTCAGGAACCGTCTCAAAGTAACGGAAGTAGCGGCCAAGCGACTGCCGATCTCAGCAGCGTTGAAAGGCCACATTCCCCATGGGCAAGCACTGGTCGGGCCCCACCCCGGAAGTTCCTGTCGCTGACGGAGCCGCTCTAGCCACGGTGGAGGCTTCTCTCTCGACTCTCCTGTCTTCACATCAGCAAGTTGCCAGGACTGTGTTCTCCAGCCTGGAACAAATTACTCCCACAAAGCTGTCAAACGTTTCGTGACCAAGTTTGAAAGTGTAGTTGTGACTCTTTTGTCTCTTATTTCTAAATAGTATTTACAAATTATTTCTAAATAGCATTTATAAATTCCTTGCAAAGACTGAAATACACTAAATTATCACTTTACAGCTCTGTGGATAGGGCCTTCCAGATTCTTTTCGGTAAGTTTAAACAAGGAACATAAAATAGAAATCAGTCTTCTGTACAGTTTTGTATTTTCCTCCATTGACCTTGTTTGTTTTTTCCAGTTTTATGTACTGGTTGTTCCGAAGAAGTGTGATTTAAACAAAGAAAGGACAGCTCAGTCTATAAAGGTACTTGACACCAAGTGTGATGACTTAAAAAGTTTGGTCCCTGGAAGCCACATGGTGGGACCTTCCTTCCTCGGGCTTCCTGGTAGCTAATACCTGAGGCATGCTATCCTGCCATATGCCATTAGATGAAATTTGTACTCATCAACATAAAGTAATTTTGTACGTGTATGAGCTTGTGTGCATCTGTGTTTATGTGTACGTGGCAGTCAGAGGTGGACATCAGGTGTCCTCCTCAGTCCCTTTCCATCCTAATTTTGAGACTGTCTCTCGATGATTCAGCTAGACTAGGTGGCCAGCAAGTTTTAGGGAGCCTCCTGTCTCTGCCTCCCTAGTGCTGGGATTACAGGTATAAACTTCCATGTCCCACTAGTTAAGTGAATGCTGGGAATTTGAACCTGGGTCTCTATGCTTGCCTGGCAAGCATTTGAATTACTGAGCCATCTGCCCAGGCTTGAACTCATGAATTTTAAAAATGCGTTTCCCAGCTCTGCCTGTTGACACAGATGAAATGGCACCCTGTAAGCAGTAAGCGTCGGTTCTCGGTTGCCAACGCCACTCCTTGTTAGAGTAAATTCCTAGAAGCAATAACTGCCTCCAAGTTAGCTGTGTCACAGAAAACGCAAAGTGAGGCTGAGACACATGTTGCAGCAGAAGAGAAAGAACCATTCAGAGTAATAAGAGGATGTGACAAAAAGGAGCCTTTGTAAGGAGTGCTTCCACCAGGAAAATTAGAGATGGTTCGAGCGTGAACTACGGTGGTTGATTATGACACACAGCAAAGGTCAAAGCCCACAACATCATAACAATACCCAAACAAGGAAAGCTGTATTTGATAGTGTTTGAGGTAATTGTTACACTAATTTCTTTGGTTTTTGTTTTGTTTTTGTTTTTCGAGACAGGGTTTTTCTGTGTAGCTTTGGAGCCTGTCCTGGAACTTATTCTGTAGACCAAGGTGGCCTCTAACTCACAGAGATCCACCTGCCTCTGCCTCCCAAGTGCTGGGATTAAAGGCGTGCCACCATCGCCCAGCCTGGTGATTGGTTATTAAAAGAAACAAGGCATTTGCCTTGTTTCTCAGTTATAATTCAATGCCAAGTGACGAGGGAAAGCACTTTACAGAAGAATGCTGACTAGCTTCAAATATGGAATGGTGGGCTCAGATGATCAGGTTTTTCTATGAAATAATTCAAACGTGGATCACTAATGGATACTAAAACTGATTTTTATAATTTGTGAAAAAAATGCCATGTTCTCCAAATCTGGTGGTATTGTCTCACAAATTGTTTGCTAATCACAAAAAAGAAAATCACAGTCATAAGCAAGAGCACTCGCTACCTTCAGCCAGTCACCAAGCCAGTGCCATTGATTTTGCTAAAACCTACCGCCACTGGAGATCCTGGTCAGTGCAACATGACAGACACACAAGGTTGGTTAGAGTTGACTGACGTATTGAACCAATAGGTCACAGTCTTCTCCACATCTTAAAATCGGAGGATACTCTTGAAATTGCCAAGTCCCAGGCTTCCTACAGAACCTTTTCAAGTATGAGCCAGGCAACAGTGCATTTTCTTTCTTTTAAATAATTTTCTCTATGCATCTTTTTAAAAGAGATTTTCTTTTTCTTTTTTTTTTTTTTTTTTTTGAGACAGGGTTTCTCTGTGTAGCTTTGCGCCTTTCCTGGAACTTTGGAGACCAGGCTGGCCTCGAACTCACAGAGATCTGCCTGCCTCTGCCTCCCAAGTGCTGGGATTAAAGGCGTGCGCCACCACCGCCCGGCGAGATTTTCTTTTTTTATTGCTTGTGTACTCATGTGTACTCAAGAAGACCAGAGGAGGGTGTGAGGCCCCTTGGAGCTGGAGTTACAGTTGTTTGTGAGACCCCCAGATGTGGGTACAGGGAATTGAACTCCAGTCCTCTGAAACAGCAGCAAGTGCACTTAACCAATAAGCCATCTCTGCCACACCTGTTTCGTCTCTTAAGACTTAAAAAGTTAAAAAAAAAAACCCAGATGAAAACCTCAGCATGCATACTAGGATGGTAGGGTAAGTTACCATAGTTATTGGGTAGGTGTACTCCATAGGTTTGTGTCAAGATGTGCACCAAATCCTAGTAATGACTTGCCCAGAAACTCCCACTTTCTTCCCATCCACTTATCTATCAAATCCTTAGTGGTTTTGTAGTGGTTCTGAGGTTTCTATTGGTTTGTAAGTTGAACTTAAAACTGTGTTTACTTTTCTGATTTCTGCCACAAATGAGGTAGCATTCACCACAGGAGTCTCCAGGAACTCGGGCCATTACTAATGTTCTACTGTATTTGTTCTATGAATGTTTTTATTAGTGTGTGGCAGTCATACAAAATAATGGACATCATGTTCATACATGCATGTAACATATTCTGATTATATTCATCCCCCGGTATACTCCCCTATTCATCACACATATTCTGCTTGATCCCATTCCTTTCCTTACTATTTCCTCTTCTAGTTACACTTATTTTTTAAAGTCCACATATGAGAGAAAAAAATGCAGCTTTTTGTGTCTCACTTATTCTTCTTGGTTGTGTTAGACTCCTGCTGCTGTAATAAATAAGCCCAAATAGGAAGAATTTATCCAGCATATGATTTCAGTTCACCGTGGTGGGGGAGGGTCTAATGGAGCTCACTTCATGATATCCAGGAGAAAGCCTGGGGGAGAAAGCCTGTGCTCTAATAATACAGTTGTCATAGTTATCTTAGTCAGGGCTATCACTGTTGTGGTGAGACACCGTGACTCAAAACAACTTGGGGAGGAAAGGGGTTATTTTACTTACAGGTTACAGCCCAGTGTCAAAGGAAGTCAAGGCAGGAACTTGGAGGCAGGAACTGACATGGAAAGCTGGCTTGCTGCTCAGTTTGCTTTCTTCCTTCCCTATAGGTCTCACTATGTATTTCTAGGTGTCTTGAAACTGAAACTCACTGTGTAGACCAGGTTGGCCTCGAACTCACAGAGGTCCTTCCTCCTCTGCCTCCTGAGTGCTGGGATTAAAAGCATGTGCCACCATGCCTGGCTCAGTTTGCTTTCTTACACAAACCAGGACCACCTGCCCAGGATGGCACTGTCCATAGTGGGCTGGGCTCTCCCACATGGAACATTAATCGAGAAAATGCTCCCACAGATAGGCCCAAGTGATGGAGACAGTTCTTCAGCTGAGGTTCCCTCTTCACCAATTTGTGTCAAGATGACAAAAGCTACCCAGCATGCTGTTCCAGATTGAAAAGGACTTCAAAGTCAAACCAAACACAGTGTACAAATTCTGACTCAGTACTACCTTCAAAACTGCTATAAACACACTGGGGGTAGTCTAATTATAAGCTGTCATTAATCACCACTGTCTGTTTGAGTTTATTTCTTGCTCATCACTGCTTTTTCTTGAGGGGGGCATTTTGATCCCCAAATTGTCTCAATGCAAAATCTCGGAAGTGATTTGAGAAGTTTCACCACTGGGTGGTGCAGCATCTTTTTTTGCTGTTCATTATTTTTTTCTATTTTTGTCAGTTTCATACGCATATGTTGTAGAATATTATTTTAAGGTGTGTTACTTTTGTTTATGTTGCATTTGTTTAACTCTGTGAAGCTGTGTTACTTTGCCTGTCTAAAACACCTGAAGTTCTAATAAAGAACTGAATAGCCAATAGCGAGGCAGGAGAAAGGATAGGCGGGGCTGGCAGGCAGAAAGAATATACAGAAGGAGAAAAGAGATGGAGGAGTGAAAAGAGGAAAAGAGCCAGAGAAGGAGGAGCACTCCAGGGGCCAGCCACCCAGCTACACAGTAAGCCAATTAAGAGTAAGATTTACAGAAGTAAGAGAACGGGAAAAGCCCAGAGGTAAAAAGTAGATGGGATAATTTAAGTTCAGGAAAGCTGGCAAGAAACAAGCCAAGCTAAGGCAGGGCATTTATAATTAAGAATAAGCCTCTGTGTGTGATTTATTTCAGAGCTGGGTGGCGGGGCCCCATAAAAGAGCAAAAACAAACAACAACACAATGTTTTGTGATCATCGTTACTCCCCATTATTGTCTTTATCTGTCTCACACCCCTCATGAGCCCCCTTCTTCCCCAACTCTTCTCCTGCACCTACTTCCATACCTTGTTTTTCTTGGCACAGGTCTTGTGCATGTAGCCACAGCTGCGAGTGTTCCTCATTGTGATGGCCGCCCCATTATCAGAAGACAGTGTTTCATAACACTCCTCTCCATCTTTCATTCTGCCCTCCCTTCCATGATGTTCCCTGGGCCTTGGAGCCAGCAGGGGAGTATTATCCTCCTACACAGAAGGGGAAAGTAAGTAATGTAACAGTAATGTAATCCACTGGAAAGGTTCAGTAATCAAAAGTAGGGACTTATGGAAGATAACAACTATGTGCTTGTATAGGAGACTAATCTTGGGAGATACTGGAAGTATTTGGCAAGGTAAATATAGGTTGCCAGAAAAGACGAAAGTGGCAGAATGTTAGATTAATTCTAATGGTTGCCATAGGGACATACATTGTATTGGTTTCTCATCTCTTCTATATGTACATAGAGAGAAATTATGTCTCTTCCTGCCAAAATACCTTAAAATCCAAACAGACATCCCGTGGCTGTAACTTTATCTGGTCCATTTTGAAGGATCTTCTCAGTGCTTGGCTATGAACTAGTCACATCTCACACACAAGCTCACACACTGTGCACATGGCCCTCAGAGGTTGAGGCCTCCAGTTTTGGTATGCAGCTTCTGTCTCCGGTGGCTACGGGTGTGATCACTGCCTCTTGATTCCAGACAGGCAGAAGAAAGGAAAAAGGCAGCCAAAGGCCATACCTCCCCATGAATCATTTCTCTTTATGGGTTTTTCACTAAAGCAGGACAAATTCTGCTTACTTATTTCTGGTCTTTCTTATCTTCAGGAGACGTGAGGACATGCAGTTCTTTTAGCCTGGCGCCTGGCTGTCACCAACAAGGGGAATTTTTTCGGTTTTGTTTTTTTTTTAAATGCCAACATGTTTTTGTTATATTTCTATTTCTGGGACACTTTCATTCAGAAACCACTTCATTAAGATTTGGCCGATTTTCCCTTAACCTAAGCTTATTTTGAGAAAAGCTTAGATTATAGAATTTATTATAAAAATCAGCTATTTGTTTTTACATTGCTGT